TTATTATATATATATATATATATATATATATATATATATATATATTGACGTAAGCAGGTTGTTCCATCATCTAAATTTATTTTCTCGATTCATGATTCTGAAAGAGGATACATTATTTGTCTTGAACGAAAAGTATGTTGTTATGAAAGATTTCTACTAGGTGAGATACCTTGTGCACATGCAATCGCTGTTTTAAAAGACAAAAATGTCAAAGATATGCATCCGTACTTCTAGGATTACTACAAGTCTGATGCGTTGGCAAAAACATATGAGATTCCAATGGTGTCAATGCCAGATAAGACATGTTGGTCAACTCCGAAGAATGTGGTAGCTGAAATTTGTATCCACCTAGATATAGACGATTATCTGGACGACCAAGGAAAAGAATAAAAAAATGCAGATAAAAAGATTGCGGTGAATACAAATTCTTTTGGACAATGTGGACAAGAAGGACACAACAGAATAACTTGTACTTTCTTTCCAAAAGAGAAGTGAAATAATCGTAATGTTTCTAAGACATTAATATTTTTGTTGAATAATTTTTCACGTAAACAATTTTCATTTTAAGTATTGTTTTTATTTGCTATTAATCATTATTGGTGTTGAAAAATATGCTTATTATAATTTGTGTAAAATAAAGTTTAAGTTGCGCTTTTAGTTATAAATACTTTATTATGCTTTGTGTTGAAAAATACATTTGTGTCAATATTTCTTTTGTTAACAAAATTTTGTAATTCGTATGTTACACTACGGGATTCCTTTAATCTTTTCAAAACAAAAATTGTTTCTGAACAAGCAGAGGAACAATTGTTGAGGAACAACGTATCTCACATGTATCATGTGCATTAGCTAAATGTATCATGTACATTTAATTTTATAACACTTATTAAGATTACTGTATAATTTACAATGATTATAGATTATGATCATGTATGTATATTAAGCATCATATCGAATAATTATTGATATATACATTAAACAACTATTTTATAACCATGTGAGTTGGATCATGTAAATTACTTTTCAAAAACTATTTATTACTAACTGTTTAATATATCTGATTAATAAAATTTGTACTGCACTTTTTCGTTATGAAATGCCATAATATATCTGAAATCTAACTTTTTAAAAACAAAAATATTTGTTCCATAATGTAGCAAAACACAATAAAACTTTAATGAAATTGCCAAAACGAGGAAAAACACACTAAACATTGTTTATGCACATATACTACTCTACGTGAATCAAATCTTCTTCTGGTTGTGGTGTGAATACGCCCTTAGATTTTGGTGGATCATCATTCTCACTAACGTCACCATTCTTGGTCTTCTCGCCGCTATAACTTCACAATAATGTTCCATATCTTTTGTATAGATATTCAGGAAGAAAATAAACAAATGATACTTTGATTTGGTCATTCAGATACTCAGCAAATGCAGCAACATATACCTCACAATCTATACAAAAATGCAGAATTTGAATTATAAAGTTAAATGATACATGAATAAAAACTAAAAAATCAGAACATCTTTGTTTGACTCCTTTGATTTAGAGGATTCAAGAACATCATTGTTTGACTCCTTCTTCGAATTCAAAGGATCATGCAAAGACTTTTTTCTATTTTCTTTCCAACCTTCTTCATCAGAATCATATATCTTTCGGTTTGCACCAGGATCCATATGTATGAGACAGATAAACGATGAACAAAAATAAATATCAAAGTTAAAAACTGACAATGGAATAAGAAGAAAAAAAAGTATCAAAAAAGAAGATGATGTATCAAACAGATTTCAGAAAGTTAAATTTTGAAATTCAAAATTGCATATTAGTGTTTGAAATGTGTTTGACTGAGTAAGAAACAATTTGAAATTCAAATTAGTTATTTAGTGTAATTGAAAAGATTTATTGATTGTAGTTATGGAGAAAAAGGTGTCGGATGATTGAGTGTACTTGTGAAGGAGAGTGTTACGTATCTACAAGATTACAGTTACAAAATAAAAAAGGGATTTAAGTAATTTTTTAAAAAGTAGGGAAAATTAGAGAATAAGAAACTTAAAGTAGTATATTTAAGTTATTTTTCCATCTGAAAGTAAAAAGAATTGGATAAAATGTAATTATCTTTTAACATTGTGAGACTTGTATAAAATCCACATTAAATAAAAGAGCAAACAAAACATAGCTTTCTGGTTTTAAAATTGAGTTACGTGGTGTACTATAATTTAAATATATCTGAACTATACTAACTTTGTTACTCATCTCCTTACGAAGTAACGAATAATGAAATTTGAACTTGTATAGATATGCTCGAGATAATGATCCAAGTTTTAAAGCAGTTACCACGAGTGGAGCAAAGTTAAACATAGAACTTGTTGTCTCATGAATAGTACATACGTGAAATAATGAAAAAAATTATTTGACCCATAATACCTTTTGTTTTAGCTCCACAACCATGTTATGAAAGTTAAAATTTTCATAATTGTGTCCCGGAGTGCGAACACGCCTACCGCTATAAACATTACACTAGGGATTTTGATTTTCAAATTGTGTCAAAATTCTAGCATAATAGACTGTAGATCACAAGGGAAATTTTGTTTTCTTCGTAAACCAATAGCAGATTCTGAACTCCAGCTCTATATGATGAGAGATTTCACTTGTAAGGTAGTAGCATGCTGGAAAATCACTTGTAAGAGCTTCGAATTCTTAACAAATTATACCGGAAATCATTCTGTGTTTTAAATCAAGTATTTTTTTTACAGGTATGTGCGAGAAAATGGCGTTAACACTGAAGATCTCAGCAATAGTGGCTAAGGTAGCTTTAGTTGATTAGGTACTGCAGCTACACTTACCAACAAGTAATTCTGCTATTGACGTTAAGACTTGAGAATGTAATTGTTCCCTTCAACAATGACGACAATTTTGCTGGACATGAAGAACAGGCATAGAAAAATGACTATCTAGAATGAATAGGCATCCACTGATATTGGTTCACAAGGAACCTGACCAAGACAAGACACTATTACTAGCTATTATTCACGCACAGAAACGGGTACCAACTGAAGGTTGGCTACAAGAGTATTATGCAACTACATTGAGTAGCATCCATATTCTCGAACCAAAACCTGTGTTTTGCGCACATGGCTCATATAATCATACGAGGTCTTGTCCAGTCCTTCAAAGTAGCCCTGCTTTCCTTCCTTTCGTCCTCCTTTACTTTCTCGTTCTAATAAGGGAGAGGATAAGGTGAGAGACTTGGTTCCTATACAAACACACTGGACATATATCGGGAAAAAAAGAACATAAAAAGTGACAAAACGGAGAAGGTCCCTAAGAAAATAGCAGTTCATAGATGGAGATGAAGACCTGGATATTGATCCCCTAACCCTAAGGAGATCAAAACAGAGAAAAGAAAAACATATAAAAGACACGTCTTATGGACATTAAAGAGAAGTGTGCACCTACAGACCAGGATGACCCAGGCCTATTTAAAGAATCATATGTTGATTCTACTAAATATGATTGCGGAAACCATCTTTCACAATCAGTTCAATTATATACTTTAACGAATGAGTGACTTGAAGTCCTGGCAGGATTGTCCATACAGACTGCGAAAGAGCAGTCCAGGCACTACCTCATTTCTGATATGGTTATCTGAACTTCTTGGTATTTTACAAGTGATTCCCTCGAGTTCTTGGTGGTCATGACTTTGAAAGACCTGAAACACGAATGCAAATAAACCTTAACAAATGACATTGGCGGTTAAACCATGCAGTGTATATAGTTCAGAATAAGCAGTCATTAGAGAGAGACCACTAATGAAAATCCAATCCAACAGACAATAAGTACCTCTGTTTGCCTCCCCATCTGACGTTCAAGGTCATGTTCCAAGTCTTACCACACAAATAACAGCGAGCCAATTCCTTGAATTCATCCTGCGACTGAATCAACATCAGAATAACATAAATAAGCATGTGTAAATTTTCAAGGTAAAATCCACATCAAAGCAAGATATAATGAAAATTCATGATTTCCTTACCATGATACATCCAGTTAAACCATTCAACCTGCCATTTGGTCAGAGCCACTGCTCTGAGTGAATTGTGGTGGACGAGCTTGTACTGCAGTCTGTGGCTGACGAGGAGACGGCATAGTGATGCCTGAAGAAATGGGGTAATCAAGCACCTTCACTGCAAAAAGATAACATAACTATTTTACTTTGACACAACCACATAATAGACTAATAGAGATCATAATGATTAAAAAAACCACATTTGGGACAGAAAATCTTGTGCCATACATTTTGGAGGCGTCATCGTTCAAATTGAAACACTCTAGTTGTTCAGATCAATACACAAGTATGTTTGCTCCCTTAAACAAAGGCCGAATTCATCCCTCAACACACCTTGTTAGACCCTTCAACTAAGTGAATCGGTGCTAAAATGAACATTATTTTCGTTTTGTGTCGAAAAAAGACATTTGCATATACAAACATCAAATGAAGAAACAGAGACCAAAGACACTTTCTAATTGCACACAGATACAGGAGATAACTCTTACAAAAGTGGTACCTGAATGATAAGGTAGTTGCATCAAAGGAACATTGTCTGTCATAGCTCCACTAGCATTAGGTCTCTGATATTGCACCATATGAGGACCAGTCATCAAATGACCGCGATACGCATACGCAGGACTGCCCGGCTGCGCACCAAGTTGGCCAAACTGTAATGTGTTTGTGCCAACAGTACTTGGTATCCCATACATCTGAATGAAATGTAAAGGCAAAAGAGATGGACATTAATGGAAATGAAGCATAAAATATTCACATCCATGAATAGCGAATGGTGCAAAAAATCATGTCCACTAGCCTTACTCAAATTAAGCAATAAAAATCCTTGTAAGGAAGAAAAGAATGAAGAATAGAAAGTATGCTACTAAACATCCAACTATGCAAAGTAGACGTACCTGCGGGTAAACATAGTCTGGCCCATATGCAGGAAACCTAACAATATGTCATTCAATAATGAAAGAAAATTAGGTATAATCAATGAGAACAGTGACATATTTTAGATAGTACTGACATATTCATGAGCATTTCTTAAATATATCTGATACCACAAATTCTAATCAATATCCAAAGAACCACAGGAACATCAAGATACAAATGTATAGATGTAGGCAGATGTATCAACAAAAGACATTGTCACAGGAGAAACATGTCTTATTATTTATTTATTTTTAGGAAAAAATTTGTTTTACTGCATTCACAACTTCAATTTTTGTTTGGGGGAGCATGCTTGTTAAAGAGAAAAGATCCATCGCTCCCCTTCTTCAGTCATAAAATTAATTTGCAATACAGGACAGTTGAGGTGATAAAGATGATGATGTGAGATTACAGTGCTATTTCACAAGTCTATAAAGTTACAGGGTAATTTTAAGATAAAGTAAGACAACAAATATATACCGTGCTAGATTTTAAAATATGTTCCTTCCACCCAAGAAAAAAGAACTGTATATATATCTTTGGCCTACTAAATTTGCCAAGTATATCAGCACAGCAGGGTTTGATACTCTGCTTGAGAAGTCATGACTAACCTATATGGAGGATATGAGAATCCAGGCTGATAACTGTAAGGAACTGGTAGCTGGTAATAGGGGCTCCCCATATACATACCCCTTGAGGCCTGTGGATTCCCCAGATAAGGCATTGAAGATCTCAAACGTCCTACAAGAACAAAAAATTGAAGGGATAAGAAAGATAATTGGTAATAGTCAAATGTTGATGGTGCACCAAATATGCTAAGTGTATCTTTATTCGGGTTATTATTAGAATTACCGTTGTTATATATCTTTATAGGGATTATTATTAGCACTACTCGTTACATTATAACATATCTGCAAGCCAGTAGACCAGCTCAGCAATACCAAAAGAAAAAGACATATCTTGAAACAAGGTTTATACAAGCTATCAAAAATTAACGTTATTGCTGGCTCTCCTATCACTCTCTGTAAAATCAGATTTAACTTCAGTCTTCCTAGCTATGCGCCTTCCCTTATACCTTTGTTTAGTCATGTGGGAGAAGAGAAATAAAGATATCACAAAGATCAACTGACAGACTTTTCCCAGCTATCCCCCACATGAATGCCTAAGCTTAAGGTGCAAAAAAGGGAGGAAAAGAAAAGGAGAAACAACAACTAATTAGCAAAATCATACATTATTAAAGAGAATATAATACATTACCATAAGGTAAAAGTCCTTGAGGTCTCCCAAGTGAAGCCAGGTTGCAATTAGCCCTTCTACCATCAATGATTGGATTAGGATTGGTGCAAGCCCTCCATGCAGCTTCCGGATCATGGAACGTAACCTAATTTCCACAGTAAACTAATCAGCATAAAATCAAATCATGACAAATTATGATCAGAAAAATTGGATTTTGAACATCATCAAGCAATCATGACAAATTATGATCAGAAAAATTGGATTTTGAACATCATCAAGCATGTATACTGTCACCATAAAAAAGGCAAATACTCCAGTTGTTGGACATAGAATTGAGAATGTATTTTTTTTATGACTTGTTCAGGCCAACTTTCGCAAGCCTCAACCAATTCCACTCGGAAACTCTGTCCACTCAGACTAACCAATTCCACTCGGTAACTCTGTCCACCCAAACTAATGGAGAACGTATTTTGGAACTGTAAATTTCTCTTAACACAAATATTATTCTTAATTAATGCTAATCAATATAGTATCACTAAATTACTACCCAATTTACACACAAAAGGAGAGGCCCTGGAGTGCCACGCTATGCATGACTTCTTCCTTGTAGCTATTATTGCCAGATAACATGCACATAATAAAATTCAACACGGCCAGCTCATCAACCACAACAGTACACACCCCCAAAAAATTGCACAAGAAAACACCCGCACTAAACTATCAAAGTAACAGTCTTTCAGTCATCAAAACAACGCAAAGAACAAATCGTTCAACAATAATACTGATCTGAGCAAAAAACTAAACTGATCATCATAATTAAAGAAGAAGAAGAAGAAAAACTCACAAAGCCATAGCCTTTAGAGCGTCCAGTATGTTTATCAGTAATAACAACCGCTTCAATAATATCCCCAAACTGTTCAAAATAACTGCGGAGTGATTCACTCTTCGTCTCCCAAGCCAACCCACCAACAAAAACCTTCGTATACGTCGTATCCCCAACCCCATATGGGCCCCGACCCGTAAACGGCGAACCTGACCCCCCACCACTACTACTCCCACCTGGACTCATCTGATACGCCATGAGCAACAAAACAAAACAAGATTTTACCCAAATCACCCAATTAAAGAAAAAAGATGAAATCTTTATATGGGATCAAGAAAAAAAAACAGAATCTTGAATTGTAAGAAAACGGAGAGGTGGAGTGAGGTGGCAGTACAGGGTAAAAACTAAAGGAAAAACCCTCTGAATTTGCAAACAAAGGAAGAAGAGAGAAGAAAACGTGTGGGGCCAAAAGGCGAAGAAGAGTACGCGTTTTTGTAAAAGACAGATGGTGGATGATGATGAAGGAAGAGAGGAAGGGTATTTTAGGTATTTAAAAAGGTGTCTGCGGAATCTTCCCGACAATTTAATCCTATTTTATATATTTGGAGAATACGTTAAATTCGTTCCTATCCTTTCATGTAATGTAATAATGCTAATCTTTTTTTATTTTCATTTTCATATTTTTTTTCCTATTGTAGAGAAAAATAATTCTCACACGCAAACTATATTTGGGAAACTACTAGTACTACATTTTTGTTTCCAATGATTATTTGATTTTCATTGGTCCAACCACTATTTAGAAAATATAACTACATTAATTATCTTGTTTATTTTTACTTATCCGTTTTATTTATTTAAGAAGTTATAACTTTTTTTCTTTCTATTATATTTTTAATTCATTTAAATTGAGTTAATTTTAAGCGAGTAAAATATTTCACACTCTATTAATTAATAAGAATAAAATGGTATATTAGTTATTTTTATTTTAATAATTGTGTCAGATTAAAATTTGATAAGTAATCTATTTAAAATTTATCATTAATTTATAATTAAGCAAAAATAACATAAAATTATTGTTATTTAACTACAAAAGACTATCCGTCACTAATTTTTTTTATTTTTAGCAATGTACGTCTAAATAACTATGTCATCAATGGCAAACAAATTGGATTAGTTATGAAAATCAATCATAAGCAAGTTGGACATTTAATTAGTCTGATTTTTATCTCATAAGAATGAAATAAAAATTTAATGGACCAAATGATATAAGAATGGGTCCCTTTTTTGGTGAAACATTGTAAGTCGCACAAATAGAACAAATTGTATAAGAATTAAAAATTATTAGATCAAAATAATTTTTAACAGTAATTAATTAGTGATGATAGCATAATTGTCATTAGAGATGTATTTTTAGTGCAATTAACAATTTTTATATGTATATATATAAAGTTTTTAGCGATAATAAATCTAACAACACTTAATTAGTGTCGATAAAAACTTTAGCACTTTTTATTAATGTGATTTATATATGGATGTTGAATTTAACCAATTAGCAACATAACAGTGTCAATCTTATAAAAAAAGTTTAATACTTATCGATCTTAAGCTTTAATAGGAAGTCTCATCGTCTTTTTATCATTTTTTCGTATTTCTTTCTTTCGACCATTCAAAAATTTAATTTTAAAATTAATATTTTTTATTTTATTTCAAATTAAAAAAGTCTAGACATCAAAGTTATTTGTATTTAAATAAAAATCTGCATTAGGTATACTAATAGTGTGTATAACAAAATATTACGTTTGTAACATCGCTAGAAATGATGTTAGTAATTTCCCTTTTCCGCTTGTAAATTGTAATTATCTCTTGTAGTCGATAGTATATATATTTATGATGTTTCCATGAATTTGAACCTTGCTAAATGATCCAAATATATCACCCATTAGTAGTTAATTAAAATCTCGCCTTACCAAATTAAATTAAATTGTTTTGTTTGCTAATGACAAAAAGTTCCCCACACTTAAATCTTATTATATACTATAAAAAGCATTATTAAAATTAGTTAGCAAATCAAACATTGACCATATTTATATGGTGTAAGTGAAATAAAAATAATTTTGGCGATTATAAATATATATATATATTAATAAAAAGTATTAATTTTTAACTGACAATCATTAATTGTTATAAGATCCACTGTTATAGGACATTTACAGAAAATAGTAATCACTATTAAAAATATTTAGTGATAAATGAATTATGATAATTAGTGAAATAATTATCGTTAATAATTATTTCTATGGTGTAATGTGATGGTGTATATCGTGATCATAGAGCAAATAATGGGAAATGTTCAAACAAATTAGTTAGTATCTTTTTTCCTTTTGTGGTTATTCCTCTTGATATATACTTTTTGACCTTCTATTTTGATTTATTCGAATTCTTCGAGGAACTCAATTATAAGGTTGAATTTTTCCCAACCTAAAACTATAATATATGGTCCCTCTAAATTTATCACTAAATTAATTGAACATTTGAAGTATTACCAAAGAAATGATTGCACAAACATTATTGATTTAATTCATTATGGGTTGTCAATTAATATTAATGAAACTATTAGGTCAATGATGTCGTCATAGAAATTATATTAATTTAATATGACAAATATAATATGATCGGCAAGGTAAAAGATTTAAATTTACTCCTAATAATTGTATCTTGTTTTATATTTGTTTTTTCTTATTCATTGATCGATTGAAAGTTTCAGTAATTTTTTCAATTTTAAATATATTCTTCAAATAACGATTTTTTCTACTTAAAAAAATTAATTTGACATAAATATTAAATATTTTAATTGTATAATATGTAAATTGTTCAACTTAACCTTTTGATAATAATTATATACATATATATGTATAGATATATACGAAGAAATCTAAAATATATTATCTTCGACGGGTAAAATTATATGATTAAATTGAAAGTCAACCATTGCACAATAAGTTTCGTGGACGAACAAGTGAACATGAAACTAATTTGAAGACCTTTGTTTTCCTAATTAAAATGAAACTAGGCGCGAATAAGTTCAAATAAATAAGACAGACATTTTTTTTCTCTCTTTATATTTGAAATTTTTAGATCAATCAATAACTGCGTTAATTTAATTTTTTAACGGTATAAAAAATAATAAAAATTATTTTTTAAAAGTCCCTCACAAACGTTTCCTAAAACGAGTGTAATCATGAATAAATATAAGTGTATTTTAAATTTTGATTAATTTTAAACGGTTTTAAAAGTACACTTAAATTTTATGAAAAGAAAGTAAAAATATTGTAGTTTAGAAATGGATGCAAACCATCTTCTATTTATAAATTAATAAAGAATAGTATGAACAGGTGATTGTTATGCCTTATAACATAAGTTTTAATTCTTTGATACGAAGATGTATATATTATTAATTTAACATAAATAAATACCAAAAATTTATTAAATTGAATATTTTTCAGATGAAGATGTTATAATAATTTAATATTCAAAAAATATGAAAATATATATATTATTAATTCAACATAAATATATACAGAAAATTTATTAAATTAAATATTTTTCCGATGAAGATATTATAATAATTTAATATTCAAATTCAATAGTATATCATCTATATATAACTCCAGTACAATGTAACAATTGCTTACAGAGGTGGAGCCAACATTAAGAATTTAGATGTTCTAAATTAAATTTGTTTGGTAATTCATATGTCTGACAAACATATATTTATTTATTTTTTTAATAAACAGAGAAAATGCACAAGTATCCTCTCAACTTATGCTCAAAATTTTGAAAACACACTTATACTATACTAAAGTCTTATTACCTCATTAACTTATTTTATAAGTAACTTTCTACACATTTCCGACTTACATGGCACTAGCTTTAAAAAAATGTCAATCAGCATTAGATCCACAAAATAGTGCTACATAGACTGAAAAGAGTAGAAAATTATTAATAAAATAAATTTAAGATAATAACATCTTAGTATAACTTAAATGTATCTCAAAAATTTCAAACATAGATTGAAAAAATATTTATACATTCGTTATCTCTAATAAAAAATTATAAAATATATAAAAAAAACTAATAAATTTATTTGAACCCATGAATTTCATTAAACCCTGTCCCTAATTATATTTAAATGCATCAGTACAAAATATTGATATTTGGTATTTTCTGGGTTTCATAATTTGCAGAATACAAAGAGACAAACAAGATTGTTGTTGTTGTTGCATGGAAAAGAAGAAGAGCAGGTGATGTTGTTGTTACCTTAACATCAACACAAAAAAATATTACAATTTTGATGGATAAGAATAAATAGGAGGAAGTTGCCGATTTGGCAGAAAAGGACGGTCCTTTACCGCAACTCCCCTACAAATCAAAACTCTCGAAATTTCCCTAAATTTATGCTACTTTTTGTAATACTTTTTTTTCTCACCCGTTATATTTAAGTTTAGAGATTTATTTAAAGAGAAATAACGAAATTTTAACTTCACGTGAATTCATGTCTTTCTCTCAGGATTATGAATAATAATATTATATTTTAAAAAAGTTATTAAAATATAAATACATGAATCTACATTTAGAATATTATATAATGCGATGATGACTCTTTAGGTGATGTTATAAAATATTTATCTTTTTACATAGGCTATATATATATATGAATTAATTTCGGATCTACATTAGTAAGATTTTAACGTTTTTAGTAATAAAAAACCAAATGTTGAACAAATTAAATTTATACTTAAGATTATCTTTTTTATAATAGTGTATTCATCATCTTAAAATATTTGATACATCGAGATTTCCGACTAAATCATGATCACAAATTGCAATGTTCATTTAAAAGTGATGTTCCTAATAAAATTTTATCCGTACTAAAATATCAAAGACTCAAATCCAAAATTAAAATAAAGGGTGAAATATTTCAATGCAACAAAATCAATGTTGATGCATTTGTTTTCTTTCTTTCACAATTACTATCAAAGACACACATTAAAAATAAATAAAAAATTATCTTCCTCTTTTGCTCTCAGTTTCAACTTCATTTCCTCAACCCCATCGCTTTCTAGCAATTCTTAGCTCCTAAGCTATACAGCTTTTTAATTTTGAATAGAAATTAAATCGTCATCAGTTAAAGTTAAATGAAGGTTCAGATAATCAATTAATTGAGCTATAAGATTTTTGAATAAAAGTATTGCATATTTTTTTGTCATGAGGAAATGTTATAATGAAAATGGAATCGACTTTGAGATGCATTTTTCTTTGAAATACAACATATATATTTCGAAGATAGGTCAAAGAATAACATATATAAATACAATATTATTATTTTTTCAAATAGAAAAGGAAAAATGATAAAAATCCCTCCTTTAAGTTCACTTATTACCCTTATCTCCTATTAGTTTTTAAAATACCTAAAATTTTTCATTTTAAAGT